GAATTCAGCTTGTAGAAAATCAAGGTCAAGCCCGTTTGAAAACTGTCGAGGAATTGCGCCAGCTGCAACGCTCCTGCTATTCTTCGCGGTTTCTTGCCTTCTCTGTCCAAGCGCGGCCTTCTCGATTCCTAATATAATCTTCCCACTGTCATGGTGGTCGACCAAGGCGGCTAGTCTACCCGAGAAGGTAGAGGTGGGCAATCATCACCGCCCATCTACCGTCAGGAGCCGAACTGCGTGCCCGGTCTACTGTGGCTTCTTCCTTCTGTTTCGACAACAACGTTTCTTACTCCTGCCCGCTGTTTGATCACTATGTTGGGAATGTGGTGGCGACGTGAGATTCCCAACATTCTTTATTCCATGGTTCTCTTAGTGAGATATAGCTGGCACTCGTTGGATTTAGTGAATGACCACATCTCACAGCCGTATAAGATCGCCCGTGGGACGGTAGGATTGAAGAAATGGACGCCGGTATCTTTCCAAATATTGCCTAGAAAGATGTCCTTGATAAAATTTAATGCGAGCCAAGTGGCCATTTTTCTCCATCAATTCTCTCCAACTCAGTCATGTCGCATTTCAATCTCTTGGCCCAGATGAATGTATTTATCGACTATTTTGATCTTTTTCACTTTTTAATATTACGTAGATCTTCGGCAGGGGTACCCGATCTCAGTATTTTCGTATGCATGTCTTGTGGCTAACTGACGTTTTTCGCAAACAATGCCACATCATCAGCGGACTTTAAGGTGGCTGAGTTGTTCACAATTGATGTTAATCCCACTCTTTCATTCTCTACCAGAATACCATTTCCGAACAGGCGTTATAGCGTTTGAATGTGGAAAATTGTGTCCCCCTGTTTCACGCTCTTCTCTACACGAATTCGGATGGAATGTCGAACAGCGTGATGTTTATGAATTAGCCAAAGTTTGCCTTCTTTAGCAGTTTAACGTAACGAATGTCAATGCTCTCTTACGCAACTGCAGTCTGTACTGCGTTGTGTTCGACAGTGTGAAAGGCGTTCTCCTAGTCGCCGAAGGCTTGCATAGAGACAGCTGGTTTTCCCCCGCGCCCTTGAGTAGCTGACTTCTGGTAAGGATGTTATTCGCTGTACTGTATCTCTTTCGGAACCCTGCCTATTTTCGAGGCTTCTGTTTGTCCAAGCTTGTTGATAGTCGTTTGATGACGACCTTAGTTAACACCCTCTCTTAAGATATCGTCTCTTGCTTTCTCTAGGTATTAGGTAATTATTGTTTTGCAGTTGTACGCAGTTTGTATGCGGGTGTTGAAAGCGGAATGAAGCATATCCTCCTACATGGCATTAATAGACAGTGAATAGTGATATGCTACTATGCAGTTTTTGTGCGGAATGTGATCAGTTTTATGCAGTATGTGATCGCATGGCTAAATTCCGCTATGTCTGGAGACTATGAACCATGTAGGAGCTTGTGCCCGCAGTCTGACAGCCTGAAGAACACCGTCGCTTTTGCGTAGATGTATGGCGTTAGTACGTGTACAGATCCATAACTTCTTATTGTTAATTAAATTGCCGCAGTAATTTATTTTCGGTGTCGATGTAGTCATTATGGTCTGCTTTTCAGATGTAGGTTCTGTGTATATGGGCTGTGGATGTTTATTGTCCGAGTTTAAAGACCTGAATCGTAGTTGCAGAAGTGGAGGAAGAGAATTGTTTATTGATACAAAAGCATTATAAGTAAAGTGGCGCTGTCAGTTAATGCTATGAAATATCTGCTGTCGTACCATTCATTGATCGAACCTGTTTAACTGTTTAACATGTTTTTTATGGATATTTCTGGTTTCTCCGTGTTTCCCTAATGAGGTTAGCGATCTTCTGCTTCTGAATATTTTTGCATTTTACCTGATCGCGTATGCGCAGGTATCTTGAAAAAACAACCGCTTTCTAATTCAGTGATACAGCAAATAGCGAAGTTGTAGCTTATTTAGATTTTCTGTGATTAAGGAGAAATGCACTTCATCGCTGCGTTGCTCTTCTTCGGTCTGTTGGATCTGTGTCTGCTGTCCGACGATGACGAATTTGCCGATGATCTCTTCGATGCTGACGGTTATGTGATACGGCTCAACTACAGAAACTTCGATGAACTCATGTATAACCGGTCTAACGCATTCATCGTACTGTTTTACGCCAGTTACTGCGGCCACTGTATGCGATTCGCTCCGAATTATCAAGCACTGGCTCGTGACTTAGCAGGTATGAATGGTTGAACGGTCAATTTTTTCTCTATGAACAGACTTGTGCCAATCCTTCAGATAGATCATAAGGTAGTTATCTTTATCTACCTCTTCATTTTCCGTGACCGCTTCTCCTTTCAGGTCCCGGAGGCAGACGTACTGCTAACAATAGACATTGCTTCCATTCCTCATCCCGTGCCAGAGTCCGAACTTCAGCGGAAGACAACTAGAGTCTAATACCTTCCACATATTTGTACTAGGATAATACTGGTCGTCCTCTGGGCATTCCGCCGTTCGGCTGGGCAAGAAACAGTTACTTCATCTACCTTGCTGGAACGCGTGCCCAAACCATCGC